GCCCAGGGTTGCCTCATCTGCCCATTTTTCCAGAGAAGCGCCACGGGTGATCTTTGAAGGGCGTCTGTTTTTCCCTCTTGGGAGCGTATCTGGGAGACTGATGGCGGGCTGTGGGTGGTCAGCTTGCGGCCTTGGGTCTCCAGGAAACTTCCGGTGCTGCCTGCCAACTCGCTTTGGTTTTCTGAGCCTTTTGTATCCCCACCTGGGAAGAGTAAGAGCAAGGACCTAAAGTTTCTTTGATGGGTCATGCCTTTTATCAAGTTCGTAATACCCTGAATTCACTGCCCAAAAAGCAGAAAACCAAGGATTGAAATAGCATTCTATGTAGTCATGCCTATATAATAAACATGTTTGTTAAAAACATCAGTTTAACGATAGAAAAGAAAAAAGTCCTAGTTTATCCTGTAAAACTTGGCATCCCACCAAAGCCAGACCCACTGCCATAAGATCCTGACTCACAGCGACCCTGTAGGACAGAGTAGAACTGCCCCGTAGGGCTTCCAGGCTGTGATCCTTATGGAAGCAGACTGCGGTATCTTTCTCCCACAGAGCAGCTGGTGGGTTTGAACTGCCGACCTTTCAGTTAGCAGCTGAGCACTTTAACCACTTTGTCACCATCGATGGCCCAATGCAGTCATCTCACAGTGTGACAGCAGCTCCTCCTTTACTCTGATTTAGTTAGAAACACCCGCTGTAGTATACTGCTGTACGCATCAATCAGCCTGACTACAGCGAGCCTATTCTCCACCTCACCGTAGGCTCCGAAAGATGAAGCCTACAGTGTGCATGAGACCCGGGCCCAGAATTCAGCTTTCCCCGCTCCAGCGCCCAGTGCTGTTTCTGCCATTTAAAAAGAGGTATGTCGGGTTCCAGTTTTATTTTTACCTTCATACTCATACTTCGAAGCTTAAGAAATCCACTAGGATTTGTAATTACGTAGAATAACTGTTGAGCAGTATGTAACAAAGAAGACTGATTTTGTATTAAAATTATATATGCATAGAACTAAATATGGGGGAACACTGGTCAAGACGCTAACAGTAGGTTACCTTTGCACCGTGGTATCTCAAAGCAATTCAACTTTGCATTTCTTTGACAAAGAGCATGTACTTTTCAGAGTTAAGAAATGGGAAAAAACCAAGTCCTCCACCTCCAAACTGTATTCTTGTTGACTTTATCATAAGCTAAGTTATTCTACTGGACCTTCATCACCACCCTTGGAGTTTTCAGTTTCCTCAGCTTGCACTGGGAAGGAATAGCAGTTCTCGTTTCTTGAGGCCATCTGCTACCTGTCATACTGACCTACTAGTATTAGGCAGCTGGGTAAAAATGGTAAAAGAAAAATGAAGCCAGTTTTCAGCAAGAAAGGGGAAAACAAAGTGCTTTAAGTGAGATTGTCCTCTAGGCCAGCAGTCAAAAGCTGTGAGTGAAGTCATCTCTGTGATCACATCCGTCCAAGTGGCTCTACAGGTTAGGAGTTGGGGGAGGGGTTGTTTCAGCAAACTGACACATTAATCCTGCTTGTTTCCCCCTCCAGTGTGAATTTAAATTTGAGTGAATTTTCTAAAAACAGAGTTCTACTGCTTTTTAAATGGACCCAAGGAATACAGTAAGCTCTCAATGACTACTTGTTGGATTCAACAGATTTAGTCTAAATGACAGATTGTACTATTAAGATCATGGGTCTTATAAAGGGTACTTCTATTACAATTTCTTCAAGAAATCATAGTGATCATTATTAATGTTACAAACATTTTTAAAAATACGTGAGTATTCTCAAATGCTTTAGGACTCTCCAGCACCTTAACTGCCTCCAGGCCACCATACAGGCCCGACAGGGCTCTGCCGTATTGCTTTCCTCGATCAGTGTCCCTCTTCAGTACACTGCCGACGACAGCCACCGTTCTGACTTTAAAGGTAACGCCTCTGATACTTTGCGTTAAGTATGCTGTTTGCTATTGGGCTTTGATTTCCCATTCTAATTCCTACCTTAATCACAGGTTTTTTTTGTCAGGAATGAATGTCGAATTGTATCACAGTATTTTGAGTTGATTTAGATGTGTTTTCTCTTCTAATGTTAATAGATCATTCCCACCAGCACATAAACAAGTTCCCTTTAAAAATGGTATTTCCCTCCCCTTCATTTTGCAGGAAATTCCGTTTCCCTTTTCAATCCACGTTCACTAACACCGCTCTCGTCAAGCTCCCCTGGCATCCCCGCCTCTGCCTGCCTCTGGAGTTCTGTGGGAAAGTGGGAGCCCTCTGGAACGCGAACCCGCAGTTAGAGCTTCGTTTTTTTGCGTAGATTGAGCGTTGTCTTTGGTGATACCTCCTGGGTGTGTGAATTTTCTAAACTTTTGGCAGATTTGCCTTTATTTCTGAGATAAGCCTCCTCACTGTGTTCCCAGTTACTGTGTTCTTCTGAGACTGCGCATCACGAGAATAAGCTGCCGTCAGTGTTGATCGGGTCACGCTGGCCGTTTTCTTCTTGACCCCCGTTCTTTATTTCCTTTTCTAGCTCCTCAACAGTAGATGAGATCTTTGCAATAAGGAATGATGCACTGCAGTGGTACTTTAGGAGCCTTGAACTCCTAGAAATTAATTATTCTTACCCCGCATTCAATCTTAGGGCCTAACCCCTGCTTCCACATGTCGTAGGTGCAGTGCACCTCTGGGGGTTCCGCACTATTCCAGGGCAGCTGTTTCTGAGCTGTTAGCACTGTTTGTTATAAGGAAGAACATACAGTAGCGGTAATTTTTCCAAAGTTAAAAAAAAAAATCCCTGGGTGTTATTTGGGTTGTAAGTACTGTTTTTGCATTAAGAATGCGTTGTACCTAGCATGTTTTGAAAAGTTCCATGAAAAACAATAAGGCTATCGGCAGGATTTACGATGTGACCCCAGATAATGGGTATCAAAATCCGTAACTCATACCAGCATGCTTTCCATTAGTGAACAGTTAACAAAAAAAATTCAGCAGAGAAAATAACTGGGTCTTGCAAGGGTTAACTTACACCAAAAAGCCAGGATCCTCTGAATCCACCAGGTTCCGTCAGCAAGCGTGGCTCCTCGGCAGACGGTGCTACCCTCACGTAGTGTCCCTGTCAGCCAAGAGCCGAGTCCGCTCACGCCTCTGCTTCCACCTCCAGTGAGGTTCCTTCTCTTTTCTCCCCCTCATCTTTCTTTATTTAAATGTCACTTTATCAGAGAGGCCCCTCCACATCCTGGTGCACTCCATCCCTTTCATCTGGCTTTGTATTTCTTTCAGTGTTTAGTGAGCGTGGCGTTGGAAAATTCTAAAATCTAGGTTATGTCAGCCTCCTACAAAAATGGTAACTTCGTTTCTTTCTGCGGGAAGCTTATTATACTTCACTTCTGTGTACTAAATGCGAGATGCTATGTATAATTTTGGGCTATTGTATAATGTGACGTTCTGTTCTTTCTCAAATCCAGGAAGCTACAAGGTAATGAGTATTTGTAATATTCTTGTTTACAGATGAGGCACAGTCCAGATCTGAACTCATATACTAAAGCCTCTGATTTTAACTATTATCCTAAAAATGGGTTTCACATGAAGTATTTTTCACTAATGAATAATTCAAATGACATTATTTTAGCATTACTATACTCACCTTTAAAGATGTAAGAAAAAAAGTAAAATTGAAAGAAAGTAAAATTGAAAGAAAGAACAATGCAGTATTTATTTTATACAGTTGAGCTGGGCGCACAGTGAAGAAAGCTATAAAAATTCCAACTATTTCTAACGGAAATCATCTGTTTATGGTTTTACATATTGATAACTCTGGAAAGTTTCTGAACTCGGTTTAGCAGCAGATCTCCTTTCTTGATAGTTTCTTGGTACTGCCAGTTCTTGCTATCAGGTCTATAAATAAATTCAAGAGAAAAAAAAAAAAGATTTACCAGTCACTTTGCTGCACGACAATAACTGACCTACTTTTAAAGGAAGGCGCTAAAGAGTGTCTCTTATTCTAAGCAGTTAAATGACGGCAAGATTCCAGTACCTGTTGGTTTCTACAATTTCATTCACTTTGTCTATTTTGCAGTGGAGTCTCCCAGCAGCAATAAACCTGGAGAGTTCCCTGATTGAGGGAAAAAGAAAGAGCAGCGTTAGTTCTATAGAGAATTCGTCAGAAGAAGAAAAGGCACTAAATACATTATTCAGTTGTCTTTCAAAGTAACGTTTCCCTTCAAGTCTGAGCTGGTGAATATGAAGTAGAAAAGATCAGCCCAGTATACTGCAGGAAGATTATCCCCAAAGATGAAGTCATCTACCAGAATAAACATGATCCTACAAGTTCATACTCAGATGGAACCCGGGTGTCAAATAGTGAGACCACTCACATCAGATCTTTAAAGCTACGGAAGTGCTCAGAGGAAAAAACAAGATTTACTGGGGGAAATGGATGTAAAAACCAATAAACTGCCCAGACAGTTTCCTCAACTTAAGCTTTAAGGTAACCCTTGGTCTCAAAATGCAAAAAATATAGTAAGAAATATAATAAGCTAAGCTTTGAAATTTTTTTAAAAAGCCAGAATAATATGCCCCAACATATTAGGATTGCAAAGATGTGTTTGTTAAACGGTTGAGCACATTAATATAAACAAAACAGAATGTCTATATTCAGAACCCAAATTTCATAATTGAGATAGCTACTTAAGTAACACTGAAGTTACAAATGTACCTCAAAAGTAAGCATTAGTGGTGAAACTATCCATTAAAGACAGAAGTTGGGCAAGAAAAAGAGATGCTATCCAGATCAGGAAAGAAGTAAACTACCCCTTTTCCGTAGATGACATGATCCTATTTCTGTAGATGACATGATCCTATATAGAAGCCTCCAAAGGATTCCACAAGAGAGCTACCAGAGCTAATGGCAGGATGCAGGTCAACAGCAAAAATAATCAGATTTTTGTACATCGGCAATGAGCAATCTGAAAAGGGAACAATTCCGCTTACAATAGCAACAATTCCATTTACAATAGCATCTAAAAGAATAAAATACCTAGAAATAAATTTAAACAAGGAAGTTAAAGACTTGTACACTGAAAGCAATAAAACAACACTGAAAGAACTTAAAGATGAGCTCAGTACATGGAAGGACAGTCCACGCTCATGGAGCCAAAGAAAGACTTCTTAGCATTGTTAAGATGTCAATGATACCTAAAGCAATCTATATAGATTGAAAGCAATTCCCATAAAAATTCCAACAGCCTTCTTTACAGAAATGGAAAAGCCAATCCTCAAATTTCGTTGGAGCAGCAAGGGGCCCCAAATAGCCAAAGCAATGTTGGAAAAGAAAACAACTGTAGGACTCACACTTCTCGATCTCAAACCCTATTACAAAGCTAGAGTCATCAAAACGCTCTGTATTGGTTTACTGACTGACATGGACTAATGGAATAGAATCGAAAGACCAGAAATAAATCCATTCATCTAAGGTCAACTGATTTTCGACAAGGGTACTAAGTCTACCCAGTAGGGAAAGAACAGTCTATTTAATAAATGCTGCTGGGACGACTGGGTTTCCACAAAGAAAAGAATGAACCTGGGCCCTGCCTCATACCATAAACTAACTCAAAATGGACCAAAGACCTAAATGTAAGAATGAAAACTGTAAGGAAATTAGGGAACTAGTTTTTAACAATGGCACCAAAAGCGTGAGCAGCAAAAGACAAAACAGATAAATTGTACTTCATCGAAATTAAAAGACTTTTGTTCCTCAACCAACCAACCTATCGATTGGGAGAAAATATCTGGGAACCATGTATCTGGTAAGGGTTTAATGTCCAGATGTCCAGAATATATCAAGAACTCCTACAACTACTTATCAACAAAAAGACAACCTAATCAAAACAATGGGCAAGGGACTGGACTAGACATTTCAAAGAAGTTCAGGTGGCCAAAAAACACATGAAGAGATGCTCCACGTCATTAGGGAAACGCAAATCTAAACCACACGGATACACCACTTCATACCCGCTAAGATGATTATGATTAAAAAAGACAGATGCTGGTGAGGGTGTGGAGAAATTAGAGTCCTCCTCCACTGTTGGTGGAACTGTACAACAGTCAGCCACTGCGGAAGACAGTCTGGTGGTTCCTCAAAAAGTTAGCATTACCATATGATCCAGCAACTCCCCTCTTAGGTACATACTCACAAGTATTGAAAAGCAGGAACACAACAGATATTCTTACACTGGTGTTCACGGCAGCACTATTCACAATAGCCGAAAGTTGAAAACAGCCTAAATGTCCAACAGATGAACGAACAAAACGTGGTCCATAGAGTCAGTGGAATATTACTCAGCCATAAAGAGAAAATGAAGTCCTGACTCATGCTACAACACGGATGAACCCTGAGAACATTATGCACGTGAAATAAGTCAGTCATAAAAGAACAAATATTGTATGATCCCAGTTACATGAAATATCTAGAATAGGCAAGTATATAGAGGCCAAGGTTTCTTAGGGGTTACTGGGGGCAGGTCTCGGGGGGAGGGGAAAGGAGGACTGCTTGCTTAGGGGACACTAAGTTTCTGCTGAGGGTCATGGAAAAATTTTGAAATGGGTAATGGTGATGGTTGAACAAAATGACGTATGTAATTAATGTCACTGAATTGTACATGTAAAAGACGTTGAAATGACAAAATTACATATTTACAAGTAAAAAAAAGTATTGACTGTTTTTAGTAATAGAATGTACAATCTTGGAAAATCTGGTTGAGCATGAAGAAAGAAAATGTTATGCTATCGAAGGTTTTAAGCTATAGGTTACCCTAAACTAGCAAGAACTGTCACATGTAGCATGCTTTATTTGTACACTCTAAATATATGTAACCCAGCTGCTACCATTCCCATTCCTTCTCTCAGCTAACACTGGGTGGCTTCTAAGTACCATCTAGTGAGTTTCCAAACTCACTTACTTATGCTTCTATTCCAGGAACTGAGGGGCTGCACCTCCAGACCTCAGCTGCTAATTCTATCTGCAACTATTATTCTCGGACTGAAGTACACAGAAAATTACACAACCAGACTTACCCATCATCAGTCTTATTAGTCCTTCCCAAATCTACAGAAGGGGGAAGAAGGCCTCCTAAGAAGAACCTAGGAACAAGGCCTCGCAGCTACAAGAGAAAGGCGCTTAGCGTGACTCAGGAGCAGATGCTGACTCAAGAAACCCTCTGCTGTTCCACCGAGGAGCTTGGCTGTGACACCCAAGGTGACAATTCAGCTGCTGTTTCCCACTCCCACTATCACCAGACTGGTTTGGGGTTTCATCATCCCCTGCCTAGACTATTAGAAAAGACTTGAAACAAGGTTCAAGCTCCTTAGCCTGGTCTGTAAGACACACTACTTTAGATCCAACCTGACATCTTACCACTACACACTCCATCCAGATCAACTAGACTCCAGTTTCTGACACATAGTCCTCCACGTATCTGCACCAGTTTTCTATCTGGAAAGCCCTTTTCCAGCACTTACACGCCCACAAGAAACCATCTGTACGTGTGCCAACTTCTAGGGCGCTTACATACTCTGAGTCGCGATCACATTCGTCTGTTCTGTGTGCCAGGCGTAATCAATGCATAGCATCCTGGTTAAAATAACAACGTTCTAACCAGCCCCCATTCCCAGCTTTGGAGCCGAACGACTTTTCTGTCATCTCCCTAAGTGTGCCAGCCAAGCCAGGTGAATCACACACACCCCAAGATTACTCAGCTCCCCTAACCCCTGGTATTTATTTCTCGAAGCCATCAGCACAGTGCCTCACACACAGCAGGTATGCAGTAAAATGACTTGAGTGTCTGCTGAACGAACAGAACCTAAAAAAATCAGACTTGATGCGTTTTTTTCATAAGAACCAAGTTTCAAAAGAAAACTTACAAATAAAACAGTAGAACACAGCCCATGGAGCAGTAGTAACTAAACAAATAACAGCCCCTTCTCTTTCTCCAGTAAGATCTCACTGAGTCTAAGGAGGGGCAGGAATGATGTAGAGTGTAGAGTTATTATTCAAACTTAGTACACCACCCTATTTTAAAAAGGGTATTTCGCCCAAAGTGGGGAAGAAAAGTTTTTAGAGAGGGAAAAAGAAAAAGAGTCCATGAAAACCCAGACTTGAGGCAGGTATCACAGGAGTTTAAAACAAGGTCCTTCTAGGTAACAGCTAGAGCTCAACGTGCATCCTCTGCCTCTACAGCTGGTCTCAGACCGAGGGAAATAGCCCATCCATTCAAATACTGCCTTGGCTTGAATTTCAGCGTCCTCAGGATGAGTCAGAGAACACTGCTGTGTCTAAAGGGCACTTTCCTGCCTCAGTACATCTTCTCACCCACAACTTGAGGCTCACGTTGCCCCCAGACAGCAAAGGCTCTATCACTCCCACGTCACAGTTAGGAAACTGACAGAGACAGACTTGACCAAGGACACAGCTACTTCGTGGAGAGCTGAACAAGAAGCCAGGCCGACTCGTTTCTCAGCTCTGCTCACCACAGGACATGCCCGCCCCTCCATCCAATACGCAGTCCTCCTGGGCAGAGGTCACCAACCCCGGATTTCAGACCAGAGCAAATTCAGAAATGGAACAAAACCAACCTACAGTTACCTGTTTGGGTAAGGATAGGTAATTCAAAAAACAAAAATACTACTATCACTGCTTTTCTTTCAAAGGAAGAGAATGAGGGAATTTCTCAGGATGGAAATGTTCCATAGCTTGACAGGGGTTTGGGTTACACTTAGGATCTGCGCATTTCACTGAATGTAAATTTTACCTCACAAACCAACCAATAAACAAATATTGGTACGTGTGCCAAAGGGTTTAGGGATGAAACAGACTGGTGTCTGACACTTATTTTGAAGTGTGTTTAAAAAATAAAACGGACAGATTAAGTGATAAAGCAAATATAACCAAATGTTAATTACAGAATAAAGGATATGAGAGTTCACCGTATAATTATTTCCGCGTGTTTGAAATTCTTCACAATAAAACGCTGGAGAAAACAAAACCACTGAAAAGAGGATGGCCTTCCTTGAATGAAATGCACTTTATCTAAAATTACTTTTACTTTGCTCCTTTCACTCTGCACCACCGAAAACTATGTTTAAAAAACCTATGTTTGGTAACACTGATCTAGATACCACATACAACAAAAAACAAAACCTACTGCCGTTGAGTTGGTTGCAACTGATGTCACCTATTCTGTGCGTCTACTTCTCCCTAACTCTACTCCAGCACCCTAGTCCAGTTCACCATACTGTCTCCTCCATGAACTAATCAACAGCCCAACTGGCCCCCGTACCCTTGCTCTCTGTAAAACACAGCCAGAGACCATGTTTAAAATCCTCCAATGACTTCCCACTGCATTAAATTAAAACCCCAGCTGCATACATGGCCCACAAGGCCCTCAGGAACGTGCCTCTGCCTAACTCTCCACCCTCAACACTCCCAAATTCCCCTCACTCACTGTGGGCCTGCACACCAGTCATCTCTGTCCCTGCACAGCCAAGCATGTTCCTCAGAGCTTCTGCATGGTGTTCCCTTCTCTCTCTAGAGAACTCCATATGGCTGACTTTCCCTCACTTCAGATCTCAAAGCAAGCCTCACCTCCTCAGACCTGCCGCATCTAAGGTGGTGCCCCTGTGGCACTACAGCACATTATCTCCACAGACTTATTTCTATCTCAGATTAACTTGTATTTTTTTGCTTGTCATCTCTCCCCTACATAGTATTAAGGTCATGAAGACGGGGGCCTAAAACAAGGTGAGATATATACTAACAGCTCAGTAAGTATTTGTTGACTCAGTGATTCCAGTCCTAAAATTCCCACATTTGACAACCAATTTGACTAGATGTGCAGCAGCCACCTAGCAACTGGAAGGAGTTATCAGAGGAAGTGTGATCTAATGTGAAACATTTAAGGTCGATGATGTAGCCGCAATGGGGTCCACTCAGAAGGAACAACAGACTAGAGAACTGGTCTCCTGAGCTACAGCAATCACTTAACCTCTCTACTACTCAATCTCCCCACCTGTCAATGCAGGTGGCCGACTGTGAGGAAGGCAAAGATGGTAAGTAGGACTGTTCCAAGAGTATCACACAGAACTCCTTTGTTGTTGCCCACCCCCCCTCCTCAAAATTGAGGGAAGCAATGCAAAGCAGAGAGAGAATACTCAAGTTCACGTATCACTTAAAAGACAATTTTAAAAAAACATTTAAATTAACATCATATAACTGAAACTCACTGATCAATGAATTCCACGCCAACACCAAAGGCTTCTGCCATATAGCCCAGCGTCAGTGAGCGATACGATTCCAGCAGCTGGCTATAGGCATGAATTCTCATTTCTCTGACATAGTATCGGTAATGAGGAGCAAACAGCCAGTCCTTCTTCATTTCTTGTTCCACAACAGCTACAATGAAAAAGATGACAAATGATAAGAATCTCCCTTTCAGGTTACCAGTTCCCATGGGCACCCTGGGGTGTGTGTGTGTGTGTGTGTGTGTGCGTGCGTGCGTGCGTTTTGTGGTTTGGTTAAGATGTCTATAAATGGAGTTGTAAAGAACTCAGCTGTTAACCAAAAAGGTCAGCAGTTTGAGTCCATCCCGCTCCCTGGAAACCCTGTGGGGCAGTTCTACTCACAGCAGTAAGAGTCTGAATCAACTCAACAGCAACAGGCTTTTTTTTTTTTGTCTCCAAATAAAATGAATGTAAAGCTTGGAAGGACATGTGCCAGAATGTGGACACGTCTACCTCTGGATCAACTGTGTGCATGACTGTGTGTGTGTGTGTTTCTTTTTCTTGGAGGGTTTTGGGGGGGGGTTGGTGTGATACAATGCTTTTCACTTTCTCAGTGTTTGAAAAACAGGTATTAGCTAGAAAAGTACAGTATTCCTTGTTCAGTTAAAATATTTTAAAGCACATTAGTCTGTGAACATTTGGAGAAGCAAGTCTTAAAACACCCAGTAAGTCCTACATGTCTCACTATACTGTCGTAGAAAATGATACAAATAACTGTGACCCAGAGTCATCAAAGGATGATTTAACTATTCTGTCTTCTACATTTAAAATGACAAGGAAATGTCTACATTTGGTCAAGATAAAAAGTTTCATCCAAAAGTGTTACAGGTTGCTAGTGAGGGCAGGGAAGGTGGAAGGTTACTCCTTTAACCATTCAAAGGTTTCCAAAAGCCATCAATTTCATTACCCTAAAATGACATTTTCCCCCTTAAACTGTTGATTTAATTAACACAACAGACATTTACACAGAGAACGCAATGGTGTATTAGGCACTGTGCTGGTGTCAGGGTTACTACAAAGATAAACGTATAAGGTCTGCTCCCAGAAAGCTAAGGGACCTAATCTTTTGTAAAAACAGGATAATAAACATAGCAAATGCACAGATAGAAGACAAAATAGATAAATGGGACTTCATAAAAATCAAAAACTTCTCATCAAAACAGTAAAAAGAGAACATACAGACTGAGAAAATATCTTTGGAAACAACAAAATTTACAGAAAACTTTAACAACAAAAAGACAACCCAATTATAAAATGGGCTAAGGATGTGAACAGAACCCACACCAGAGAAGACATCCAAGCAACCAGAAAACACACGAAAAGATGCTCGTGATTATCATCCATTAAAACAAAAAACCAAACCCGTTGGCGTCAAGTCAGTTCTGACTCACAGCAACCCTACAGGACAGAGTAGGACTGCCCCACAGGGTTTCCAAGGAGCAACTGATAGGTTTGAACTGCTGACCTTTTGCTTAGCAGCCAAGTGCCTGAGCACTGCACCGCCAGAGCTTTTAGAAAGACGTCAGTCAAAACTACAATGAAATACCATCTCACTCTGACTACAATGGCACTGATTAAAAAACAACCAACAAATGTTGGCGAGTACGTGGGGAGAATGGAACACTTAACCATTGCTGGGGGGAGTGTAAAATGCTACAACCACTGTGGAAAACAGGATGGTGCTTCTTCAAGAAACTAGAAATAGAGCTATATGATCCAGCAATCCCAGTCATAAGGGCACACCCTAGAGACCTAGAAGTAATGAACAGATAGATGCACGCCTATGTTCACCTCAGCTTTACTCACAGTAGCAAAAAAAAAAAGAAAACAAAGTGCCCATCAGGAGATGAATGGATAAGCAAAACATGGTACACACATGTACTGGAACACTGTACAACCATAAAGAAAAGGATGAGTCCACAAAACCTAACACGGATGGACCTGGAGGGCATACTGCTGAGTGAAATCATTCAAGCACATAAGGACAGATATTGGATGATCCTTCTTTTATAAGAAGACAAGCAAAGACACAGAGACCAGTGTTCAGTGGTGGTTATCGGGGCAGGAGAAAGGAAGGGGGAAGCATGTCTTAGGTCATAAATACTTGGTATCTCTGGTGATGGAAAAGTAGTCCTGAATACGGGTGCTGGGAGCACAGCACGACCAACGGAATGCTGCTGCTGAGGAGTGCTCATGGGAAAAGGATGCCTGTACCTCAGAATCTAACATACAAGAAAGGGCAACAACTCCAACAAAGCACAAAAAAACGAGCCTAAGGTCACATAAGGATGGGTACAGGCATGTACGTATACAAGTAGGTGCAGATGTATGCATACGTGACAACAGACATACAGGTATGTGTGTGCAGGCACAACAGATACTCCTCAGACATAACCAAAGACCTTCCGAGATCAGTTCTCTGGTTTGAAGGCTTAAGACCATAATCTCATGGGACAACTCAGTCAGTTGGCATAATACAGTTCACAGAGTTGATGTTCTACATCCTAGAGAAGTGAGTAGCAGTTGGGGTCTTCAAAGCTTGTGAACCATATTGGTGTCTACTCATCAGGAGAAAGAGTAAGAAGGTAACCAGAATCACAGAGAAGAAACAAGTCTACGAGGCTGATAGCCTACACGAGCCACAAGCTCAACTACCCTGAGACCAGAAGAACTAGATGGTGCCCAGCTACCACCACTGACCGGTCTGCCCGTGAGCACAACAGATGATCCTGCAGAATGGGAGAAAAATGCAGGACAAAACTCAAATTCTTACAAATGGCCATATTAAGTAGACCACCTACAACCAGAGGACTCCCTGAGACTATCGCTGAGACTCTCTTCAAACTTCGAACCAAAACTATTCGAGATCACCTTCTAATAAAAAAGCAGAATGACACACAAAATAAAGGATATTACCCATTAGACTGGCGCTCTACTAAAAAACACCTATGAGTCCAAAAGGCCAACATTTAATCCACAGCAAAGATGAGAGGATATGGGGGCAGGGAAACTAGAGTACTGGAAATGGACCGGCAAGAACACAAGGAGAATGTTGACACAATGTGGAAAACGTAACTAATGTCACTGATCAATTTGTGTAGAAACTGTCACAGGGGAACCTAATTTGTGTAACCTTTTACCAAAAACACAGCAAAATGTGACTTTAAAAAAAAATACACACACACACACACACACACACACACACACACACACACACGATCTATTCCCAAAAATTCTGATTAGTGATAGGGACAAACTCTAACAAAGAATCAAAACAATTTGATAAGTTTTGAAAATGGGGCATATGGACAATAAACACATCAAAAGAGGTTCAACATTACTAGTCATTAAAACAAACGAAACTTGTTGCCGTCGAGTTGATTCCGACTCATAGCGACCCTACAGGACAGAGTAGAACTGCCCCACAGAGTTTCCAAGGAGCACCTGGTGGACTTAAACTGCCCACCTTTGGGTTAGCAGCCATAGCTCTTAACCACTGTGCCACCAGGATTTCCACTAGTCATTAGGGAAATGCAAAGAAAACTACAATGAGATACCACTTCATACCCACTAGGATGGCTACTGTCAAAAAGACATATACTAACAAGCGTTCGAGAGGATATGGAGAAATTAGAACCCTCATACGAGGTTTATAGACAGTACCAGGGCGACAGTCTCAGGGAGCCCTCAACGAGATGAACCAACACAGTGGCTGCAACAACAGGCTCAAGCATAACGATTGTGAGGATGGGTAGTGTTGTGTTCTGTTGTACATAGGGTTGCTATGAGTCGAAACCAACTCAACGCCACCTAGCAACAACACAACAACATACACTGCTTGTCGGGATGTATATGGTGCAGCCACTGTGAAAAACCGTTGGCAGTTCTTAAAAGGTTAAAGAGGTACCACATAACCCAACAATTCCACCCCGAGGTATACATCCAAGAGAAATGAACACATATCCTCACAAACACTTATACATCAATGGTCATACCTAAAGTGGAAACAACGCAATTGTCCATCAACTGATGACTGGATCAGTAAAATGTGGGATACTGATACAACGGAATATCACTGTCCTAAGATGAAATGAAGGTCTGACACGCCACATGGATGAACCTTGAACACATCATGCTGAGTGAAGAAGCAAGGCACCAAAGGCCACATGCTGTATGATTTCACTGACGTGAAATGCCCAGAACAGGCGATCCACAGACAGAAAGCAGACTGGTGGTTGCCAGGGGCTGACAGGAGGGAGGCATGGAGAGTGACTGCTAATGGGTACAAGGTTTCTTTCTGGGGTGATGAAAACGTTCTGAAATCAGAGTGGTGATGGCTACACACCCTTGTGAATGTCCCGATGACCACTGCACGGCACACTGGTTTACAGTGTGTGAACTACATCTCAATAATAGAGGGCGAGGGCATAAAGGGCGGGCTCTGGGAATGCAGAGAAGTAAGGGGTCCATTCCGACTGAGGGAGGGCAGGAGGGGGGATAAGCAGATCTCCAAGCATAAAAACGGGAAAAGAGCAATTCTGTAATACAAACTTGTGCACAAAAGCATCCATATATGCATGAGAGGGTAAGGCCAAGTGAACAATCCATCGTGCCTGGAAAAACCTGTTCCCATATTACATGAGATAAGGAGTATAAATTCTCCTAAAGAAGCCTAATTTCCATGCGTAAAGAACGTGCTCTATAAACATTTAAATATTTGGGGGCCAAAACTCACTCCAAAAGCAGTACAATCAGCTTTTAGATCCCCCTCCTCCTAATTTTTATGAATCCTACCTATTTAACCAAACACCTTCTGAAATTTGCACGATAAACAATGTATCAATGCCAAGTTCTTTATGTTTTAGGAAAATCATGTGGGTCAACTTGATACAAGTTAATTCTTCTATCATCCTATTAAAGTGTGCTCATCAGTAAAACAGAAATGGCCAGGAAGGACTGGGAAGAAGAGGAAAACCCAGCAAATTCGTGTACGTAGGATCACTATTAACTAGTTTTGGAGGAACACCACAAGTATTTTCAACAGATTATTTTCTCAGCCCATAACCCTTAAAAACAAGTCACAAATCAGCACAAATATGTAGCTATCGCATAAAGAATAACCCGCTGTCAAATTCAAGGGTCAATTCATTTCAACCCACTAGGAGACTCAGAATTTGCTCACATCTTTCCCCATAAAAACTCGGTATTTACAACATTTGCTCACTTCTGTCTCACCCCCTTCAACAACTAAACCAGGGTCTGGCAAACTTCTTCAGCAAAGGGCCAGACAGGGAGTATTCTGAAGCTTTGCGAGCCTCAAAGATGGATTCCTGTTGCATATTCTTCTGTGGTTTTTTGTTTTTAATAACCCTTTAAAAATATAAGGAGCCTTGGTGGCGCAGTGGTTAAGAGCTACAGTGAGCTACAGCTGCTAACCAAAAGGTCAGCAGTTTGAATCCACCAACCGCTCCTTGGAAACCCTATGGGACAGTTCTACTCTGTCCTAAAGGCTTACTATGAGTCAGAATCGACTCGACGGCAACTGGTTTGGTTTGGTTTGATTTTAAAAATAAAAAATAATTCTTAGCTCCCTAAACCATACAAAAGCACGCTAAGTTTGCTGAACACCCTCTAAACAAAAAAGAGCAAAAAGCTTAGCCATAATAATCAAAGGCCTGTAGCTATCTGCACACTACATCTTTTCAGATTTGTGAAAAATCCCCTTAGGTTATCTGCATACAGAGCTGTTCAAGAGCTAAGATGAAGACAGACGATGGAAATGAGCGATTCTGTCCTTACCCAACGACTGGAAGAAAACTGAGTAACGACACTCGTAGAGTGAAAACAGGTACTGCCGGACCGCTGGAAGACTATGTAACACTTCAAGAATCTCGGCCCCTTTGATAACCTGGAAATTCAAAACATAACAATCTTATGCTTGAATGATTACTGTGTTTCAGTTAGAAAAGCATGGGGTAGTCTTTAACGCTTAGTGTCCAAGGTTCAGTGGTCACCTTTTCCCTGAGATCTGGTCTTTCCAAGGCAATCATGCTGACATAGACAGTGTAAGTCACAAAGGTCTTATAATCCATAAGTTCATACGACGTAAACGTTGAAACGGTGTCAAGGAAGAGCTCAGCTGCCTGTTTGAAGTCACGGATAGCCACACAATACAGACCTTGATAGACTTTTAGGCGGTTTCTCCTGTCCCAATCTCCTCCTTCCTCTATTAAGCTATAAAATCAAAAACAGTAAGATCATATCTGGAAATGGATGGTGCCACTTTTTTAAAGTTTTGTGCTATTTTCAAAGAGTAAACACCTTTTAACAACTTGCACCAAAAGGAAATATTTTTTAATAAAGATTTTGCTAAATACAAACATCGATTATTTACTAGCTGTAAACAAAACAGGCGAATTTCTTGTATCAGTCTCGTATTTATAGCATCGTAACGTAGAGGGAACATACCCTCATCTAAAAAAGTACCTTTTAGCCTTTTCTGTGTTTCGTGTGATGAGGTCATTGTCCATGTAAAATAAGCCAATCCTGAGGAGATAGAACACAATATCCAGTCGGTGACCCAGGGCCACAGTTTTGTCGTATGTCTTGCGAAAGGCCGTCAGAGCTCCTTCCTATCGAGAGAACCGAGGAACCAGTGAGAAAAGGCGGAAAGATTCACAGCCCATCGGCTGTCTGCTAGTCTCCTCAGAAGTGGTGAGGGAATGGGTAGGAGGAGAGATGAGACAAGTGGTCAGGGGGTGATTAAATGCTGAAGGGTGAGAAGCACACAGAGGTTCATCACCTACTCTCTCCACTTGTGTAGAGAAAAGTATAAAAAGTACATCAGTACTTAAGTACTCGAGTGTGTTCTAATACCTACTGTCAGAACACAATCAACTATTTAAATACACAACTCTACCGCAAAGCATCGTGGAATAAAAAAATACTTCCGTTATTTAATTAAAGACAACAGCATGAATAAAATCATTTGTTCATACTTGGTACTTCAGTATGTGTCTGGCTTTATATTATGTAATTACTAGTTACGGCTCATAAGTTTATAAAGGGGACTAGTAAGACAGCAACAGGCACACCTAGCACTCAGACCTTGATTTCTAAACACTATTCTCTACTTAAGGAAACCCGGGCTCCTAGAAGAAAAGCATGATTCCAGGTTTGGAGAGCAAAATAGCAGGTAAGCCTGCAACATCTCATTGTACCAGAAAATAAGGAAAACTACTGAGATCATGTCAAAAGCATGAAGAACTGTCTTGAAGGAGCTTCCACTAACAAATGTGCAGCAAACTGAGCACCATAAAGAATAATGGCTGTAATCAATGGTAACACACTGATAATAACATTCTAGTAAGTTTACCAAGTATTTAGTAATGCTAAATAAAATGTAAAAAGCAAGAGAGAGTAAATAGGAGAAAAAAAGAGAAAGTTCTCCTTTCTGGAAGACTGCACTCAATAAACATGGAGGGAATATAATATTAGAACATCACTTCTGAAAATCCCCCAATGTGATTCAAGCATGTTCTTAATTCTTCAAGGCTGCAATCTAAAGCTATAGACTTCTCATTTGCTTATAAATTACAAGTGCTTGCTTGAATTATAAATTACAAGTGCTAACCAAAGCTAAGAAGTTTCCTGAATACAATCAAACACTTTGAGGGACAGAGTAGCAGGGGTGGGGGTCTGGGGACCATGCTTTCAGGGGACATCTAGGTCAATTGGCATAACAAAGTTTATTAAGAAAACGTTCTGCATCCCACTTTGGTGTCTGGGGTCTTAAAAGCTTGCAAGTGGCCATCTAAGATACATCAATTGGTCTCAACTGCCTGGAGTAAAGGAGAATGAAGAACACCAAAAACACAAGGAAAGTATTAGCCCAAGAGACAGAAAGGCCCACATAAACCAGAGACTTCCTCAGCCTGAGACTAGAAGAACTAGATGGTGCCCAGCTACCACCAATGACCGCCCTGACAGGGAACACAAGAGAGTCCCTGATGGAGCAGGAGAAAGGTGGGGTGCAGAACTCAAATTCTAGTAAAAAAGACCAGACTTAATGGTCTGAGACTGGAGGAACCCCGGAAAGCATGGCTCCTGGATTCTCAATCAGCCCAGATCTAAAACAATTTCCGAGGCCAACTCTTCAAAGATTGGGCTGGACTGTGAGACATAAAATGATACTCATGAAGAGTGTGCTTCTGAGCTCAAGTAGATACACGAGACTAAACGGGCAGCTTCTGTCCGGAGGTGAGATGAGAAGGCAGAGTGGATTAGGAGCTAGTTGAATGGACATGGGAAATCGGGTGGAAAGGAGGAGTGTGTGGTCACAGTATGGGGGAGCAATTAGGGTCACATAACAACGTATGTATAAATTTTTATATAAGAGACTAACCTGAAATGTAAAGTTTCACTTAAACTACAACAATAAACAAACAAAACAAGAGGCCGTATCAGCACAGGGTATGTTTTAAGCAAATCACTGTTGCGATATAAAAAAACCGGATTAGCCACAGAGAAAAAGCACAGATGAGGGAAGACAGACGCCAGGCCACATGAAGATAAGGAGCCAAGGAACAGAAGCTGAAAAGAGACAAGGACCTCTCCCCAGAGCCAACAGAGAAAGCTTTCCCCTAGCGCTGGCACCCTGAGTTCGGATTTCTAGCCTCCTAAACTGTCAGAAAGTAAATTTCTGTTTGTTAAAGCCAAAAAATAAATAAATAAATTACAAGTGCCACTGGTAAGGGACCAATGCTGAGGACCACCAGCAGAGCAGTGGCTCTCAAAATTTATTATACGTAAGAATCACCTAGAGATCTTGTTAAACTGTAGACTCTGATTCTGTGTATCTGGGGTGGAAATACAAATTCTCAGCAGTTCGAAGCCCTGCTTGTAATAATGGACCACTGTCAAAACCAAACCACAAACACGCACAAACAAAATAGAAGTAAACACAAATTATCAGCTATTTTTAAAACTTTTCTGTGATTTCCAAATTTATACACTGACCAAGTCTTAAATTTATAATCAGAGAAAAAACAAAACAAAGCTTGTTTTAAATTTAAATAATAACTGCTATCATTTAACATGCAGACGCTTACTATGTGCCAGCTGCTAGTCTGAGCTCCTTGCCCCTATCTTCAATCCTCATCAAGTAGGAACTGTCGCCCCATTTTACAGATTTGGAAACTGAGACAGAGGTTCAGTAAAACATACTTACTGAAGATGGAATTAGAACCCAGGCAAACTGACCCAAGAGCCCGCACTATTTTACTCTTTATATTAACATCACAATATTCTACATCTAAATACTTCAGGGTACACTCCTAAATTAAGCACATTCAAAGCCCAGCCTTCTAACTATTATACAGCTACTAAATTAAAATATTAAAAAAAATCTAATGCTGGCAGGTATCCCTTTCATGCAATGCCAGTAGAGTATAAATTGGGCTGGCTAATATGGGGAACAATTTGGCCAAATTAAAATTAAAATCCAAAATTAAAACTAAAATAAAAACTGTTCACTTTAAAAACGACATTGTCTGAGCCCTAGCCATTTCATTTTTCAGAATGTACCCTGCAGAAACACCAGCATATATGCAGAAGGAGACACACAAACAAACGTGTTTACAGCAGCAGGTTGTAAGGACAAAAACAACTGAAAACATGTATGTCCGTCAATGGCCACCACATGGCTCCATAAACTATGGCATAGCCCCACAATGGAGTATGAGGCAGCAGTTAACTAGAATGAGCAAGATGTAGCTGCATTAACATGGGATGCTCTCAGACAGAACGCTGAATAAAAAAGATGAGCAGGACAAGAGGAGTACACCATGATCCCATTTATTTAAAAAAAAAAAAAAATTCCCTATATTCTACAGGTACACACACATATATGTACAATTAAAAAACTAAGGTCAGCCCTGGGGAGATAAGGAGTAAAGACGGATCAAACAGAACTTCAATATTACCTACGATGTTTTAGCTTCTTATGAGAACATTACTTATGCAAAAACTAGTAATTTTAAAACGCACCAGAACCACTGCTTCCCAACAAGATAAACTGAGAAAAGTGGACTTCTGAGGATGATCCCAATTTTGCAAACACAGTAAACAAAAACACCTCTGCACGGGCACTTGGGTTTTTCTTGGCATGGAGAGAGACAGGGAAGAACACACACTTGGCTGCTGTTTGGGGGCAGGTAATAGAAAGCGTATGGCAGCTTTGTCTTTACTCATTTTTATATCAATTCACTACTTTACGTAAGCATGTTACCTTTGTACTTCTTCAAAAGGAAATTAATTTTTAATGAGAGATTGTATTAATGGGGAAGGCTTCCCAAGTCTGGAAGACTACATTAACCACAGAGCAGGGACACCATCCCCACCCACCTTGTCGCCTATCCGGCAGAGGTCTGGACGACATTAACCGCAGAGCGGGGACACCATCCCCACTCACCTTGTCGCCTATCCGGCAGAGGTCTGGACTACATCAACCGCAGAGTGGGGACACCATCCCCACCCACCCTGTCGCCTATCCGGCAGAGGTCTGGACTACATTAACCGCAGAGCGGGGGCACCATCCCCACCCACCTTGTCGCCTATCCGGCAGAGGTACTCGGCCTTCGCCATCATTGCATCGCGAATTTCGCTCTCTCCCAGATTCTTCTCCGCATCTTCCAGCTCCTCATCCAAACGTTTCAACTCCTCTTCATTCGCCTTCTTCATTTTACTGAGCAGGTCCGTGTCCAGCTGCCAGTCAAGGGATTTGCACAGGGCTTCGTAATAAGGAGCCATGTCTGAAAGCAAGAAAGAGGGACGCAATTTACGAGTGGGGCCACTCGTACTCTGAAGTCAGTGTCCGCCCGTCTTCCCCACATACAGTGAGGTCAGCCATCAGCCTCCCACCCACCACTGGGAAGGGATGGCACACAGCCTGGTACGGGGCCTGGCAAAGAGTGGACGGCTCCTGAGTGTTTGCAGGTGGAGGCTGACATCAGGGAGGACTGTGGCACTGTCAACCTCCACTCCTACTGAGGCTGCACGAGGCCAATGCTCAGTTTGCTTCTAGATGGGTAAGCCTGTTTACACACTTACACTCAACGCCTACGTTCCAGTATACACCGAGGCCCACTAGGTGCCGTTCACTGCTGGGGAGGAGACCCACTAGGTGCCGTTCATTCACTCCTAGGGAGGAGACCCGCTAGGTGCCATTCATTCACTGCTAGGGAGGAGACCCACTAGCTGCCATTCATTCACTCCTAGGGAGGAGACCCACTAGGCGCCATTCATTCACTGCTAGGAAGGAGACCCACTAGGTGCCATTCATTCACTCCTAGGGAGAAGACCCACTAGGTGCCATTCATTCACTACTAGGGAGGAGACCCACTAGGTGCCATTCATTCACTACTAGGGAGGAGACCCACTAGGTGCCATTCATTCACTCCTAGGGAGGAGACCCACTAGGTGCCATTCACTGCTAGGGAGGAGACCCGCTAGGTGCCATTCATTCACTCCTAGGGAGGAGACCCACTCGGTGTCGTTCATTCACTCCTAGGGAGGAGACCCACTAGGTGCCATTCATTCACTCCTAGGGAGGAGACCCGCTAGGTGCCATTCATTCACTCCTCAGGAGGAGACCCACTAGGTGCCATTCACTGCTAGGGAGGAGACCCACTAGGTGCCATTCAGTCCTAGGGAGGAGACCCACTAGGTGCCATTCATTCACTTCTAAGGAGAAGACCCACTAGGTGCCATTCATTCACTCCTAGGGAGAAGACCCACTAGGTGCCATTCACTGCTAGGGAGGAGACCCACTAGGTGCCATTCATTCA